CCCTCTCTCCCTCTCTCCCTCAGTCCAGGCCTTGACCAACAAATCACCAAGTGGAGAAGGTCGCATCCTGCTCATGGTCCCTTCCGCTCCGTATCAATACCCGGCTGATTTGGACCCAGCCCCAGCGAGAGCAAGAGAGACAGAGAGAGAGAGACAGAGAGAGAGAGAGAGAGAGGGGGGGGGTATATGAATCCAGCCACTATGCTCGGACTTCCCTTGCCTCGTGCGTGCGCGCGCGCGCGCGCGGGAAAAAAATCAAATTTGAAAGGAAAGAAAGGCAAAAGTTATAGTTGTGTACGTGACGTGTGATGGTCGGCATCGGCAGGGCAGGGCCGGTGGCGGCGGAGGCGGTATGGACTGCGGCGAGTCGGGGAATTTTTTATTTTTTATTTCTTTTTTATTTATTATTTCACAGAAATGCACACCAACATCACTGCGAAAAACATCCTCGTAAATGTATAAAACATTTGTGTTAATTCCAATTTACAAGAAATGTCAATACAAGATGCTTGTAAATTTACAAATTAAAATTGAAATTGAACGACACAGATCATCTAGAAAAAAAATATAGACAGTCCCCTCGACAAGGCCACAAAGCTCCCCCGGGGGAGGGGGGTTGAAGAGAGGGGAGGGACCTCTTTACTCTCCGGTAGTGACAGTCTTGGGGACTGTCTAAAAAATACAGTTTTATATACTTCGTGGCCTTGACGTGTGTCTCTTTTTTTCCCTTTTTGCCATACAGGTGGCGTGGATCAAGTCGGACACGAAGGCGATCCTGGCCATCCACACCCACCTGGTGGCGCACAACCAGCGGCTGAGTGTCACGCACAACGGCCACAACACGTGGCGCCTGCACGTCAACAACGTCCAGCCCGCCGACAACGGCACCTACATGTGCCAGATCAACACCGAGCCCATGCGCTCTCAGGTGAGTGAGGGGGTCGCATAGTGTTGGGGGAGCCCTGGAAAGTGTCCGGAAAATTTCGGGAAAAAACGTGAAATTTCCGGGGAAAATTGAAAACAATTTCCCAGACTTTGGAAGTCTCCCGTTCTTTTAAGGAAATTTTTGGAAATTTCCAACCTCATGTGAGAATGTTACACTTTTTCAGGTGAGTGAATGTCGCATATTTACTGCAGGTGTGCGAATGCCCATTCGCTCACATAAGAGGAGAGTAAAAGTGTGGTAATTTCCTCTAAATCCACACACTTGTCCCTCCACGTGTACGAGTGGCGTTCACACACCCACAAGTGTGTGCAACAAACCCACATACCAGCTTTTCCAGCGTAAAAATAAAAAATTAAACAATCGCAAAAAAAAATAAAAAATAATCATTTTTAAAAAAGTAAAAAATTTTGCGAATATAATTCTCGTGGTAAGTGTGCACGGATCCGGGATCCTCCTTCCCTCCCTCCCGCCGCAGGGCCCACAGGGGGCTCAGCCCGACCAGGACGGTCCCGTTGCGCGGATTTGCTTTTAATTCGGGTGCTCTAGGGTTGCTTAAGGTGGGGGGTTTAGCGTAAACGCGCGTACACAGTTCAAAAAAAATAAAACGAATCTGCCATGGTAGGCGTGAACTTCGCAGTTCTTGGAAAACTCCGTTCCTGTCGCAATCGGCTGTACTCTACATCATTTGTTTTGTTGGTTCTTTTTTTTTTGTTGTGTTTTGTTCCACGTCTATTTGGAAAATTCACGTGCCGTGTCTGTTTTGTGTGTGGATCACGCTATACGGCGGCCCTCCCCTTCCCTCCGCGGCTCACTCTGTGTTTCAAATCCCCCTCATCTCAGTACCACGCTTCCCCTGCTCCCCCCTCTCTCTCTCTCTCCCTCTCTCTCTCTAGATACACTATCGCTTCACCTCTCCCTCTCTGGTGGGAGGGTGGACCCCTGCTCCGAAGAAAGAACCAGCCAATCAGGCTCTCTTCACCCGCGAGGGGTACGTGCGGTGGACTCCACTCCCCCCTTCCCCCTCGATGTCTAGCTTTGAACAAACACTTGGCGTGGGCGCCCCCCTCCTCCACCCAACCCCTCCCCTTCTCCGCCTTTAGCTGTGAACAAATACTTGGCGACCGTCCCTCCGCACAGTAAAAAAAAATATGTGCAAACATTAGAAACAAATCATCAACAATTTCGATTTTTAAACGAACCAGTTTCTACCACACGAGCCGCGCGCGGGGGGCCAGAGCGTCATGTCGCCGCGACCACCTGTTGCATCTCAATTCCACATT